CTTGCCCTGTCCAACGTCTCCCTTCACCCACTTTTCTGTTGTCCGTCCCCCAGGGAGGAGGTCACATGTAGATCCTTGTAATCGGTTCCCCTCTCCACCCTCCCTGGCATTTTCTTATAAACTAAACATTTAACTATGGAAAAATTGTGTAAGAATATTGAATTCTAACAAAGACATCTTCTGTCTCTATTGAGATCATCATCTCGACTTTCTCCTGTCAATGTGATGAATTAGATTAATAATTTTCTTAATCTTAAAACTTCCTTATCAACCTAAATAGACCCTATTTAGTTTTGAGGTAAAAAAGCATTAATCAGTATTTTTCTGATCTTTTCTTCTTTTATAATGGCTTTTTGTAACTATGCGACTTACTAACTTTATAAATTGTGTATAAAATTCTACGTGGTAGTTAGCAGAAAGGCTTATTTTCTTTAACCTAGCCAAATATTACTATGTTACTATTTTCTGAATGGGTCCAAATTAACAACCTTTTATATTTTGGTTAGCACCTGAGCACTTATCACTCTGACAGCAGGACTCCCTTCTTTTAAGGCAGTCCGTTCCATTGTAAGCCACCTCTAATTGTTAGCGAGTTCTGGATTGTGTTGGGCTGCTAACTGCAAGGTGCACATTGGAAACCACCAGCTGCTCCAAGGAAGAAAGAAGAGTTCCTGTCTTGGAGCCCCCTGGGCAGTTCTCTCTCTATAGGGTCCCTATGAGTTGGCGTTGACACCTCAGCAGTGGGTTCTGTGATAGCAAGCCCAATGGCTTCACTTATTTCCCTGAAAGTTAGCCAGCAAGTAGTTACGAAGGTCACCTCTTTACCATATTTTTTCTATGTAGGGACTGCAATATTTTGTTGTTGATTTTAGATTTTATCAAGTCGGTTCTGAGTCACGGCAATCCCTATGTACAACAGAATACTGTCCTGTACCATCCTCACAGTCACTGTTCTGCTGTGAGTCCATTGCTATAGCCACTCTGTTCATCTGTCTCCTTGAGAGCTGTCCTCTCATTTCTTTTTCATTGGCCCTCTTTTTTACCAAGCATAATGCTCTTCTCCAGGGCCTGGGACCTCCTGATAACGTGTTCAAAGCATATGAGATGAAGCCTTCCCATCGTCAATTCTAAGGAGCACTGAGGCTGTACTTCTTCCAAGACAGATATGGTAGTTCTTCTGGCAGGCCATGGTATATTTAGCATTGCTTGACAACAAATTCAAAGACACAAATTATGATTTGGGCTTTTATTCATTGTCCAGTTTTCGCACGCATATGGAGATAGTGAAAATACCATGGCAGGGACCAGGTGCACACCTTAGTCTTCCTCTCGTTACAACTTTGCTTCTTAGCACTGTAAAGAGATCTTTTGCAGCAGATATGCCCAATGCAAAATGTTGCTTGGTTTCTTGACTGCTGCTTCAATAGGCATTGATTGTAAATCCAAATAAAATCCTTGACAGCTTCAATATTTTCTGTTTACTATGATGTTTCTTATGTTAGGTACATAAATATTTTTCTAACCTGTATTTCAAGGATTTTTTTTATGAGAAACGCTGATCATTTCCATATGATTTAGATTTCTTAACACCTCTAAATTCAGATGATGAAACCAAATGGTATTTCCATAGGCAAACCATTTCCTGGTTACACTAGGTGGCAGTATATCAAAGAGAATAAAACGTCTGCGAACAAGTCTGTGTGCACTGACTGAAAACAAAGCAAGTCACTGTCAGTAGTTTTGTTTTGTTTGTGTTTCTGCAGTGTCACCTCAACCAGAGCTCAAAGAAGTAGGCAATGTTAGGGTTCCCCTTTGGGGAGCAATCTGAAAGACAGAAAATTGGCTAGGTGAGGCCAGACCTATCAACCTTCTGTACTTTCACAGGGCATGTACGTCTCCCCTCTAACATGATGTGCTGGATAATTATCTAAGGGACCTGATATTTCTAAAACTACAGCTACGGCCATCAAACATGATGGCGTGTTTTTAAAATTATTCTACTCCTCTTACCCCTGGTTCAGTCCTTCTCACTATTAATGGTCTCGCTGCTATCCCTCTATTTGTTCTTGAGACTCCGCATATTTCTGTCACTTGACACTCTTTAGAACTGAAACACATGTTTGTGTCCACTTTTTCTGTATTTTCCCTAATCATTTCACTTTACAATTTAGCCCATAGCGCCCCCTGTCGTGGTCTCTTACTGTGACCCTGTTGCATAGGAATCCTGTCAGCTTATGCCTCTGCTCAGCAGCACTCTCGAGCAAACCTTCCTCTCCGTTCCCTTCCACTTGTATTTATTCCTGTTTTGTTTAAGGAGCAGTCATAAAGCCAGATTCCCCTACGGATAGCCTTTCTCACCACCTCAATGATCCATCAACAGTTTCTTCTCTGAAACTCGTCACCATTTGTATTGCTGGTACCTGTTCATTTGATACAAAGTTCTGTTATCTTTTTTGTCTTTTATTTCATTATTATTTTTGTTTGTTTGAGAGGCAAATTACAAGTATGTTAGCCACAGGAGTCATTTATTTTTTGATATCCATGTTTAATAAAGAGTGGTAGTGGTGGTGTGGTTTCAGTTAATTTTTGATCTTTTTGAATTCTAGATTAACTTTCCCCAGAAGTAGTGAACACTCTAGTTAATCATTCCCTCAAGATTCATTACAGTTTTACTACATGTGCATGTGCATGAATTTATTATCCAGTTATTGTTTACTTTTAAATGTTTTTGCTTTCTATGTGAACAGAATCATGTTGAATGTGTCTTCTCTAACTTGCTTGTTTCGTTAAGATTAAAATCCTAAAATTCATTCATGTTGCACATAGTGGTATTTCATTCATTGTCACTAAGAGTAGTGTACTCCTAAATTTACCGTAATAGTAATTCCCATAATTTACATATAGCATACTGTTGATAAACATTTGAGGTATTGCCAGGTTTCTTTTGTATTTTTGTGACCATTACAAGCAATACCTCTAAACAATATTGACATCTGAGTTTTCCAGTTTTTGCAGTCTAATAGGTTATTAAATGGCATTTTGCTTCAATTTCCTTTTTTTTTCATTAGTACTATTGCCAAATATCTTTTGATATGCTGGTTAGCTTTTAGGATTTCTCTTTCAAAACATCTTTCCTTGCTGTCTTTTTGCATACTGAACTATAAGTTTTTCTTTTTTTAGGCATTTTTCTTTTTCAATGTTAGACATTATGATATCTCTTCCTCTTCTATTTTCTAAAGAGCCCGGCGGCATTGCTGTTCACTGCAGTGTCAGCAGTTAGAAAGCACCAGCCATTTGGGGAAAAGGTGATGCTTTCTGCTCCTGTTAGTCTCTGAAACCCAAAGAGGCAGTTTTAACTGCCCTGGAGGGTTGCTATGAGTCAGAATTGGCTCAATTACATGTTTTTTTCTGGCTTCGGGTGGGGTAGGGATTAACTGTATTTGCATGAGCTTTATTATTTTCTCTAGAAAGGTCTAACACATTACTGTATATTTGTTCTGGTGTATTTTTAGTTTTTATGGTAATGTAAATAATGTCTTTTTCAAAATTCCATTTCCAACAGTGTGCTGAGGTATAGGAATGCAGTTGATTTTGCATATCAATTTCACGTGTGGCTATTTTGTTAAACTCTTATTCTAACAGTTTAGCAATAGATTATTTTACTGTTTCTCCATAGATAATCATATTAGGCATGGATGACAAATTTTATTTCTTTCCAATTCCTTTACCTTGGCGCTTTTTATTTATTTTCTTGTCTTGATGAACTAGTTAGGATATGAACTAGTTAGTATTTTTTCTGTGTCTTTTCAGGCAGGTAATTTTATTTTATTTTTAAAATCTCTCTATAGGTGAATCACATTGATTGTCTTCATATGAAAGCAGACTCTTATTTGTGTGATAAATTCAACTTCATTATGATATATTGAATTGATAGATTTGGGAGGCTAATGCTTTGGTTACATTTTTTGTATCCACATTTATAAAAAATATACCAATATAGTTTAATTAAATAACCCATTATGAAATGCTATAAGTTTTTCATAAGTAGCATTTGGTTTCTTATGGTATAGAAATCTAATACCAAGGGTTTTTTTTTCAAACATATGTACAGATTAATCCCAAACTAGAAGTCATCGATTTGCAGACTTCCAATCCCCCAGTTGTGGATGTCCTTTCTTTTGACTCTACCACAGTAAGTTTTCTTCGACATTTATATGATGTTTAATTATTTGGCACAATCAGTTTTCCTTAAGGGGTGGAGGGAAAGGGATCAAATGTGAGCTAAATAGCCTGTCTTAGTCTGGGTATTTTAGAGAAACAAATCCACAGAAACTCATATGTATAAGAGAAAGTTTTATAAAAAGGGTAAGTGCACATCAAGAAAACATCCCAACCCAGTGCTGCCCAAGCCCACAAGTCCAACATTAACCCATATGTCCGACACCAATCCACAAAGTCCTCCTCCATCTCACAAAACACACGCAATGATGCCGACTGCAGGGGGAAAGCTGAATCAGTGAACATGTAAGTAGCTCAGCGCTGGCAGGGGTCTCCACATGGCTGCTCCAGCACCCAGGGCTGCATCCGGGTAGGTCCATGCAGTTTCTCCTCAGGGATGTCTTACAGGAAGTGAGCCTTGCCAGCTGAAGCAGGGAACTGGCTAAGGCAGCTGCACCATGGTGCGACTATCACAAAGCAAGAGACCCTAGAACTAGAAAGGCGAGGCTCAGCGAGCCATTTATCCCTCCACTCTTAAATTAACCCCACATGTGTTTATCGGCCAGGTTGGCACAATAAACTAACTACCTCATAGCCCCACATTAGCATAGAAACAAACATTATAAAGATAGTCTTATTTGTAATGTATAGAAATAGCCACGAAGTGTGTAGCAATAAGCGACAAAAAAAAAAAAGAACGTCTTTTAGACCCTGAAATACAGTCCAATTCATACTCACTATTTCCTCTATTGTTAAGGTGTTACCAGGTGACATACCACTTGTAGTCACAGAACAGATTTCCTGCTTTGGTAATTGCCTTTCAAAAGTGCTAAACTTACATATTTGTAGTAATGCAAAACTAGTCATAAGAACAGATGGGAAGACATGGCATGATCTTTAGTGATACTGCTGGGATGGTGTCGGCTTAGTTCAATGTTTTGGGAAACTTGTTATTGCATGGCAAAACCAACATAAGCAAACAACATTAAAAAGCTGGCATTACAAACTCTGTAACAGAAAGGATACTTCCCAAAGGGCCTCTCAGTGTTGATTCCACAGCAGAGAAGAGTCTTAGATCTCTCATGAGAAGTTCCAGTGATAAGAAATCAGCTGGAGGGCAACCAAGTGGGTTATTGTCAAGTGGAAGTCCAGGGATCATTGGACAACCAGAATCTCAAGCTGTTTTGTGTGCTTCTCTTTTAGAATGTTTATGTTTATAAAATAACTGTACATTATTAACTAACAAGGAAATAAAGGTTAACTAGACCATCTAATTGTTGCCACAGAGCCTTGCTTATAATAGGTTTATGATGAATGAATGAGTCCAAAGGCATGCTAATAAACCGAGAAATTCAACTCAATTGGATTTTTCCCCCTGCTGTGAGAAGGGAGCAATGGTGGCTAATGGGATGTTTTACCTTTTTGTGAAGGTAGTATATAGACTAAAATTGTGTGCTCTAGGCTTAGAAGATATCACAGTTATCAAAGACCTTTAGTCCATCCTTTGAGACTCACTCTTCAGTACTCTTTAGGCCTCATCCTTGAAGAATCCAGGATCATTTCCATAGACAGTGTTATACAGAGAAGGGCGTACTGCCCTTAACAAGTGACAGCAGGGTGTCTATCCCTTATGGTAATCCAGAAGTGCTAAGGTCAACTAGTATATGTTGTGGGTCTATAACAGAGACTAGGTAGGTGTGTTGTGGGGTGGGGACTTCCAATGGACAATTCTGTTTAAACACATGACAAGCTTTAATTGTCCTGTTAAACAGAGTAAAGTTAAAGAGTACAATTATAATCCATGTAAGTATAGTATTACATCGAATCATATGAAACGGCTTTTTCATAGATAAAACTAGTCTAATACAATATAATTTCACTCTAAAATAACATATAACTATTAAGAAGAAGTGTGATATAATTGAACTATTGAATTATATAATATGTGGATTAGGTGCCAATAAACATATTTTTGAAAAGAAGAAGTGTCCACTGGCACTCTGAATTACTTGTTTAATGTTCTAAATAAATAAATAAAATAACACAAGAAAACCAAAAATCCACAAAAAAGTAGAAAGAAAATGTTTTGGAAATGATTACATCTTTCTTTTAGATCATTGATAGGTAGTTGGGCAGAAAACTAAAGTGAAATCACTTATAACAGTTTGTTTATTTTTCTCTCTATTTGGTTGGTTTTTGTATTGTATAGGATAGTTTCCTTAGAAATTTATTTCATCAAGATGTGACCTAAAAAGATTATTCTTTAAACCTTAATTTGCCAAATTTCTTAGTAGGATACAGGCAGGTTTGTAAAAGTAAAGCAATAGTTGTCTTCCATTCCTGCTTTGACATGATTTCATATTACAATCAGGATGATTTGTAGACATAAGAATGCTGGTACCTTATTTATGCTTTGATATTTAATTACAGAGAAGAAATCATAGCATATAATATAACCGATGGTGTCTTTTTGCCTTGTCTGTCTAATCTGATACAATATTTGAGGATCAAAATCAGCTTTTACCAATTTGTGTTTTAAAGCTTTGTGGTAAACAATCTCTGTAGAGTGGCATACTGGCAGTGTTCGTCTAGACTGACTAGAGCAACAAACCCAGTGGCACTCGTAGATGTGTAAGAAAGAGCTTCATATCAAGAAGTCATTAAGTATCCAGAAGATACCCCAGCCCAGTCCAACTCAAGACCATAAGTCCAGTACCAGTCTGTAAGTCCCTCTGCAGACTCACACACCCACATGTCGTGATACAGAATGCAGAAAGATAATAGGTTGGTGGGTGCTAAGTCATAAGGATCCAATGGCGGTCACATTGCAGGACTCTGGCAGTAACCATGGTCAGCCAGCAGGAAGATGAAAGCAGAGATAAAGAGGGACTGGCCTCCAGAGAGTTATATCCTGGTAGCACCTTCAAAGGAGGTCCTTGGCTGTGACCTGATTGATAGGCTGATCTCTACCCGTACCCTTCAAGTTGACAAGAAATTATATCTGTACACTGGATCATGTATAAACATCGATTTTAAATATTGATCTTGACTTTTCTGGTCATGTGGTCATTTTTAATTGTTAATTACCAAAGGCTCCATTTGATTATATTAATAGTTTATTAATTCCACTAACACTAGGTTAGGATTTTGTAGTGGAGCCTTGGTGGCAGAGTGGGCTACAAGTTGGACTCCTAACCTCAAGGTCCGCTGTTTGAAACCATCAGCCACTCTGGGAGAAAGATGAGGCTTTCTGCTCCTGGAAAGATGGCAGTCTTTGAACCCTAGTGGAGCAGTTCTATTCTGTCCTATGCAGTCGCTTTGAGTCAGAATGAACTTGATGGCATGGAGGGTGGATTTTTGGCTTGGAAGGTTTTGCCAACAATTTTGTTCTAGAACATTTAGCATTAATATTGACATGTGATGTGGCTACAGGAGATAGCCCAGCATGTACTTCCCCGACACCTCAAAAAAAAAGGCAAGCATGGGAGCAAATGAAGGGGGAGGAAGAGAGAGTGGAGGACATCCTGGCCCCAGGCCTGGAGGACGATATCCCCGCTCAGAACAGTCAGTGCACAGAATGGACCATATGGCTGGTCCCACTATGAGACACGACACCCCTCACTGACCCATGGCCCTACGGGGGACAACACTGGAGACTCAGTGTCGGGATTGGCCCTGTCTGGCCCCACCACACTGCGGCAAAACACTAAGGGCATGTTGGCAGAACAGCGGGGGGAGCAGAGCAGGGAAGTCCCGAGGGAGTGAAAAGGATAGACCTTGGGGCCAGGGCATGGCTCCCCATTGGACTTGACTGGAGGACACTCCTATAGGTCAACAGACAGACCTTGAACTATTTACAGATTTTTCTTTCTTTTTAATTTTTATTTAATTTATTTTTTTGGTCATTGTGTTTTTTGTTGTCATTTTCTTCTGTCGCTTTGTATTGCTATGTCTTGTTTTTTGTGTGTGTATGATCTCTGCAGGTCTATCTAGATAAGATAGGATGAATGAACAGTCTGGAGGAGAAAACAATGGGACCAGTGGTTCCAGAGGGACATGGGAAGAGGGGGAAGTGGAGGAAAGGAGGTGGTGTTGACCAACCCAGGGACAAGGGAATAAGAAGTGATCCAAAATTAGTGGCAAGGAGGGTGTGAGAGGCCTGATGTAGGGATTGATCAAGGGTAACCGAGAGAAATTACTGAAACCCAAATGAAGGCTGAGCATGATAGTGGGACAAGAGGAAAGTAAAAGGAAATAGAGGAAAGAACTAGGAGGCAAAGGGCATTTATAGAGATCTAAATACAGGTATGTACATATGTAAATGTATTAATATATCATGAGGAAATAGATCTACATGCATATATTTATAGGTTTAGTATTAAGGCAGCATATGGACATTGGGCCCCCACTCAAGTACTTCCTCAATGCAAGAACACTTTGTTCTATTAAACTGGTATTCCATGATGCACATTTTCCCAACAAGATCGCTGAAGGCAAAGTAGGTGTATAAGCAAATGTGGTGAAGAAAGCTGATGGTGCTCGGCTATCCAAAGATATAGCATCTCAGGTCTTAAAGGCTTGAAGGTAAACAAACGGCCATCTAGCTCAGAAGCAACAAAGCCCACATGGAAGAAGCAAACCAGCCTTCTGTGACCACAGGTATCAAAGGGATCAGGTATCAGGCATCAAAGAACAAAAAATCATATCATTGTAAATGAGGGGGAGTGAAGATTGGGGACCTAAAGCCCATGTGTAGGTAACAGGACGTCCCTTTACAGAAGGGCTGCAAGGAGGAGACAAGCCAGTCAGGGTGCAGTGTAGCAACAATGAAGCATACAACTTTCCTCTAATTCTTAAATGCTTCCTCCCCCCTCTCCCCCCCACTATCATGATCCCAATTCTGCCTTACAAATCTGGCTAGACCAGAGGATGTACACTGGTACAGTTAGGAACCGGAACACAGGGAATCCAGGA